CCTCAGCGACCAGCACAGATCAGCTCTAGGCATGACAAAGCGGATATTGTCCTCTTTTGGAAGACCAAACAAATTAGTTTCGCTTTCACAACGTAGCACACAGCGCCGTCACGACATGGCTACAGTGAGAATAAAAGTTACGCCTTCTTTCTTTTTTGAAACTTTAGTCTTTGCAACTTTACAGATCTTCTTTATGCACCAAGAGCTTGTAACACTCCAAAGAGAAAGGAAAAATTGAAATCGCATCATATGACCCCTTTAATGCTGGTCAAGAACGAGAGGAGAAGCCTTTGGGTGTTTATTTTCAAGATGCTAGGTTTAAATTTATAGGAATTTATATGAGAAAGAGCCTGTCATAAATTTTTTTTAACCATTTAAATGGTTCTGCGGTGTGAAGAATGCATCTCAATTCAAATTAAAATATTTAAAATTATATAGAAAATTAACAGCGAATTATATAAAAATAAAATATTTAAAAATATAATTACAAATTATATATACACTGCCATTCAAAAGTTTGGGATCAGTAAGATATTTAATGTTTTTAAAGAAGTTTTGTATTTTCATCAAGGCTGTATCTATTTGATCAAAAATACTGAATAAACTGTAACTTTGTGAAATATTATTGCTATTCAGACCCGGTTCTTAACAGCTATAGAAGGGTGGGCTGGCAGATATCCTGGGTGGGCATTTTTTTGTTGTTGTGGTGATGGGGGTTATACTGTAGATGTTGCTACATTAAATATATTAACTATATTATATGTATACTGAAAAAAAAACTTTCATGGCCAGCCGAGAATATCATGCATTTTTACAACATTTTTTCTTTATTGAATAGTGTCATGGTTTCCACACTGGTGATTATTTTCAACTAAAAATGTAAAAAAAAAATGTAAAAATGCACGTAGGCCTATATGACAGCCCTACTGTAAGCCGCTTTGAATAAAAGCATCTGCCAAATGACTAAATGTAAATGTAACTAACTTTTTTATTTATACCAAAAAAAAGGCCATAATCATGTCTAGAACACTGGGGGGACCATTGTTTTGAAGAAAATATAAAGACCAAACCACTATGGTAATGGTAAAGGAACTAAATAAATAAAGGGTTTAAATGGATTTAGTGGAATAAATTCAAAGAAGACAAAAGAGTAGTAAAAGAACAAGAATACGATTTTTTTTAAATAATCAATCTGAACGGCAAATAATGTTTTTTATTTTAAAATATTCACCCATTCAATTTTAATTGTATTCCTAATGTTGAAAACGCAAAACAGAACAATGCTATTGTCGTCAATAATTATGTCAATATTGACAATAATTATGAATTACACGAATCACGTAAATGACAGACCTACTTTCAATTCAAAGCGGTGGAATTTCACAAAAAAGTCGAATAGTTTGCTTCACTGGATATTATAGTTGCTGTTGTTATAGTAACGACAAATGCACCTTTCATCGCACAAGATCTTATTTCAATGTTTACTTTCAGTTTTCATTCTTACTTTCAGCATTAACAGCAAGCCAAAAGGGGTAAGCGTTCAACTGAACTGTTTAGCCTACATACATTTAAACGCTTATCTTGCCCCGTCCATGCAATGAATGCACATTATTGAATGAGCGGGTTATTATAGAACATTAATTCAACTGCTCAGGTAATTTCAGTGATAGGCTATGATACGTATTCATGTATTAAACTCCTTGTAACTTGCAAACTCCCCGTGATAGCGCACAAATATTTCTGCCTGTTTTCGCTCGCTGTCAGCCTCTGCTTTTCTGCAACAGACTGAAGCCGCTTGAATTCAGCGCGCTTTGCATTCAGCTAATAAAAGAAAAACGCTGCTATTTTCTGGTGTTATTTTATGATTGTTGGGGCAGCAGTCTCCATATACAGTGGGTACGGAAAGTATTCAGACCCCCTTAAATTTTTCACTCTTTGTTATATTGCAGCCATTTGCTAAAATCATTTAAGTTAATTTTTTTTCCTCATTAATGTACACACATATTGACAGAAAAACACAGAATTGTTGACATTTTTGGAGATTTATTAAAAAAGAAAAACTGAAATATCACATGGTCCTAAGTATTCAGACCCTTTGCTGTGACACTCATATATTTAACTCAGGTGCTGTCCATTTCTTCTGAGCATCCTTGAGATGGTTCTACACCTTCATTTGAGTCCAGCTGTGTTTGATTATACTGATTGGACTTGATTAGGAAACCCACACCCCTGTCTATATAAGACCTTACAGCTCACAGTGCATGTCAGAGCAAAAGAGAATCATGAGGTCAAAGGAACTGCCCGAAGAGCTCAGAGACAGAATTGTGGAAAGGCACAGATCTGGCCAAGGTTACAAAAAAAATGCTGCTGCACTTAAGGTTCCTAAGAGCACAGTGGCCTCCATAATCCTTAAATGGAAGACGTTTCGGACGACCAGAACCCTTCCTAGAGCTGGCCGTCCGGCCAAACTGAGCTATCGGGGGAGAAGAGCCTTGGTGAGAGAGGTAAAGAAGAACCCAAAGATCACTGTGGCTGAGCGCCAGAGATGCAGTCGGGAGATGGGAGAAAGTTGTAGAAAGTCAACCATCACTGCAGCCCTCCACCAGTCGGGGCTTTATGGCAGAGTGGCCCGACGGAAGCCTCTCCTCAGTGCAAGACACATGAAAAAACACCTGAAGGACTCCAAGATGGTGAGAAATAAGATTATCTGGTCTGATGAGACCAAGATAGAACTTTTTGGCCTTAATTCTAAGCAATATGTGTGGAGAAGACCAGGCACTGCTCATCACCTGTCCAATACAGTCCCAACAGTGAAGCATGGTGGTGGCAGCATCATGCTGTGGGGGTGTTTTTCAGCTGCAGGGACAGGACGACTGGTTGCAATCAAGGGAAAGATGAATGCGGCCAAGTACAGGGATATCCTAAACGAAAACCTTCTCCAGAGTGCTCAGGACCTCAGACTAGGCCGAAGGTTTACCTTCCAACAAGACAATGACCCTAAGCACACAGCTAAAATAACGAAGGAGTGGCTTCACAACAACTCTGTGACTGTTCTTGAATGGCCCAGCCAGAGCCCTGACTTAAACCCAATTGAGCATCTCTGGAGAGACCTAAAAATGGCTGTCCACCAACGTTTACCATCCAACCTGACAAAACTGGAGAGGATCTGCAAGGAGGAATGACAGAGGATCCCCAAATCCAGGTGTGAAAAACTTATTGCATCTTTCCCAAAAAGACTCATAGCTGTATTAGATCAAAAGGGTGCTTCTACTAAAAACTGAGCAAAGGGTCTGAATACTTAAGACCATGTGATATTTCAGTTTTTCTTTAATAAATCTGCAAAAATGTCAACAATGCTGTGTTTTTCTGTCAATATGGGGTGCTGTGTGTACATTAATGAGGAAAAAAAATGAACTTAAATGATTTTAGCAAATGGCTGCAATATAACAAAGAGTGAAAAATTTAAGGGGGTCTGAATACTTTCCGTACCCACTGTATATCTTATACTTCTCAAAACACAGTCTGCTTCAGATTGGTTTTAATCACTGCACAATAAATAAATAAATAATGCAATCTTTATCTGATTTTGATTGGGTGGGCAAGACAGTCATTTGGGTGGGCTCAGCCCACCCCTGCCCATGCCTGGAGCCAGCCCCGTTGCAATTTAAAATAACAAAAACAAAATAATTTGTAAGTCGCTTTGGATAAAAGCATCTGCTAAATGACTAAATGTAAATGTAAATGTACTATTCAAAAGTGTGGGGTCATTAAAAATAAATAAATAATATTTTAAAGTATTTTAAAATAGGAATCCAATATTATAAATTGAAACATTACTTCACAATATTACTTTTTTCTGTATTTTTTGATTAAATAATTACAGCCTTGATGAGCATAAGAGACTTCATTTAAAACTTTATATATAAGATGGGGCACAGAATGTCACACCTACAGAATTCCAAAATAATCTAATATCAAGCACTTCTGTGCACATGTTAATGAGAGAGAAAAGAAAAGGGGTTAAAGAAATAATAAAAAAAATTAATTTCCTTACCCATAAACTCAATGCCCAGCTCATCTGCTGCTTCAGGGAGAAATAACAAAGAGAAAAGTGGTTAAACAGATGGAGAGAAAGACAGAAACAAGGAGAAATGTTATCATACAGATTTCCACAAACAAAGACATATTAAATCACCCAGATAATAACCGAGAATAAAAAGCAAGCGAGTTTTGTGTCAACTAAAACTGCTCATTGTTCAGAAAGAGAAAAGATTCTGTAGCGGCATCGTTTCGGCAGCAAAAATAGCTTTCTCTTGATTACCCAAGATACGAGCAGCCGTGATATTGAAGAGGGTGAAGCAGTTTATAATCGAAAGCACATAAAGGCCTGTTAGTTGCCTGTAGAAAAGATAGGCTCCCCTAGAGAAGCTGGATTTTGTCAGAGACGGGCTTTAGAAATGCCTCTGTCAACTGTAATGCCCAGGAGATGCTTATAATTGTCTTTTCTAGTTGCAAAATTTTATTAATTCAGCTGAAGGCTTCAACCAATATGCCTCCTCTTTAAGGGAGTGTTCTCCAGCAGAGCATGGCACAAGCAAATCGCCTTTCTAAATGCAGTCACTCCCTCTCTTTCTCTCTCTTCTCTATCCCACTGAAGCCTCAGAACTGCTGGTCCTGATAAAGAGAAGAACACTCATGCCCTTTTCATTTGAATAGTCCCCTTTTCATGCTACTGTAATATAACCTCATTTAAATTAAAATGAAACCCTCACACTTAATTGCTTTTCTGACAGAGGTGGTCTAAGGTTTTTAAATAGACTGCGGCTTGCCCGAGAAAGATTATTGTAGTGGACATACTTAGAGGGGAAAAACAGAAATCAAACACAGTGACAGAAATCGTTCTGTCAAATGATGAAATCGTTCTGTCAATTTTTCAACGCCGTGTTTTTGCATATATTCATGCGGCAATTTAAACATTATCTGTGGGAAAATAATGATCCGAAATGTCTATTTTTTCCTCTCGAAGAGGTTGTGCAGCAGTTCTTAATGAGAATGCAAGGAATGGTAGTTTTAGCCAATTCCTGCTTCCTGCACATGATTTAAATCCGTGGTGAATAAGGACAGAACCCTTGTTTACTGGTAGCAGCACCATAGCGCAGACACAATGAAGTATGAGGAATCGCTTAAAGGCTGTTTTAAATGCTAATGTAAGCAGAATTGTTGGTAATACTCCTACCCGAGATTTTAACACACTGTCCCTCCTCTGGGCCTTTTGAATTCGCAGTGTTTTGTGGGATCGGGTGAGATTTTTAAAAAACACAACATGGCTCTGTGAGACAAAAGGCCCAGGCGACGATCCAGTTCTGTCGTATCCCTACTGCCAGCATTGCTTGGCCCTTTCATGCTGCGGCTGCCTCTGATTGCCCACAATAACTGCCACATTCATCCAGTCATAATCGCTGTGCTGTCATGAGCCACACACACAAAGTCATTAAGCACGGATATGCATGCATTCCTCGAATCCTGGCAGCAAGGTCCTGATGTACTGATCCCATAAACCACAGCCTTCCATCCGTTGTCCCGTCACCCTTGGGAGACATTTATGCCGTCGAAAGAGAGATGGGACCCAGCGCACTGCATCAACATCAGTCGCTCAGAGACTGAGTGAGAGAACTGCAAAAATGAATCAAATCCTTAATCCTTCCGTTAGTTGGAGCAATAGGCGAAAGCTCCTTTGTGCGGCTTACTTACATAGCCTAATGCTTGAGAGATAAAGACCTAAATGAGAGGGGCCGCTGTCCCCTGAGCAAGCCAGTCGTGAAATCCGTCTCCCTTGAGTCACCGGCTGAACCCCCGGTTGATCCACAGCTTGGAAAACGGCTTCACTTACCAAACACCTTCCACGCAAAAATGAATATTCTGTCATCACTTACAAAAAAATCGTTTCTGAAGACTATGCTGGCTACTCTTGTTTGTGCAATTGCAATAAAAGGAGTTAAACCTTCAAAAGCCTTCATAAAAGTGGTTCATATGACTGGTGCACTATATTTCTTGTCTTCTAAAGACATACTTTTTGCCTAAAACACTGCATTGAACATTTTCCCCTCTGCTACAAGCCTTTAACTGCTACAAACAGATTATTGCATCTGAACTTGAAAACCAAACAAGTAAAATTCATGATAAAATAATTTAGATAATTTTAGTTTGATTTAAAAGAGTAGATTTGTGAATTGGACAACACTACTTGTCTCATGAACAGTGGTGTATAAAGTATCTGAAAGCCATACTCAAGTAAAAGTACAGATATCTTACCAGAAAATGACTCCGTAGAAGTTGAAGTCACCATTTAGAATATTACTTGAGTAAAAGTTTTAAAGTATGTGATATCTATTGTACTTAAGTATGAAAAGTATTTTTTTTTATTTTATTAAATGTACTTAAGTATTGAAAGTAAAAGTACAATTAAATGCAAAATGGAAAAGGAGCAAATAAATATACATTAAAAATGTTCATACTGAGTAGCAAGTTTGTGTTTAGTTTTAACTCTTTCTTCCATTTTGTATCTTTGGGTAATAATAAGAAGCACTTCATCCGGTACTTAGTGTCTTTCATTCCAACATAAGAAAACATTTCTGGAATCTGCATCTGAAGTGATATTTAGATGTATTTACTAGGGGTGTCCCCAACTAAGGATTTTCATAGTCGAATCGGAATTTTCTAATCTTGCCGATATTCGACTGATAGTCGAATCATATGTTTTGGGGGCAGGGCAAAATACATTACCAAGAGTTAAGTCAGACATTCGACAGTCATAATTACATAAAAACACACAGGGAAAATGTGTAACGGAAGCCTTGCAGATACAAATGGGGTAAATAATGTTTTATGTTTTGATTAAAAGATAGTTAGCATTAAACGTCAGCGAAAACCTAAGTATTCACATTTTTTACAATAGTGCTCTCATTATAACGTTATGTATAATAGTTATTAATGTTTTGCATTTCAGTTTTGAGCTGCGCGCGATGACCAGTAGAATGAAGCAGCAGGTTTTTAATCGATGGGATTTGACTCATCAATTATCTCATATAGAATACGCTTCGTTATTTATACAACATAAGGTTAATATTACGACTTCTAGGCTATCTGCACAAAATGCCTCGAATACACGAACGTGTCTGCGCGGCTCTGAATGAACTCCTTTTGTGGACGCGTTCTTCACGCAACAACGTGCAGAAACACGGCAACTAAACTAAAAAAAATCACAATATTTTATTATAACAGTGTTCTCATTATAATGCTATGTATATGACAGTAGTTATTAATGTTCTGCATTTATGTTTTGAGCTGCGTGCATTGAAGATGACCAGTAGAATGAAGCATTTGATAGCAGGTTTTTAATCAATGGGATTTAACTCATCATTTATCTCCTATAGAATACGCTTCATTATTTTTACAACATAACGTTAATATTACGATTTATAGGCTATCTGCAACAAATGCATCTTATACGAGATAAATAATATATACACAATATATATAAACCGGCTGAAATGTTTTGAAATCACTTGTACCCTACCTGATCGAAAAAATCCGATCTTTCACTCTGTCTATGTCAATTTGAGTTTTGTTAAAGTTTTAAATCCCTGCCACCAAGATGCTCCTCTGTCGGTCACGGATTATGGAAAGTGAAACTTAAATCTATAGGGGTGGTTGGATTTATTCATGCACGTTAAAATATTTATTTGAAGCTTCTTTCTTTTCAGATTCTTATTTACAGCATTATTTTAATAGGCTGTGTATTAACTTATTGGGAGAAAACCAGTAGTTCTATGTAAAATCAGACATTTGAGCACCCCCATATAGCCAATGGCATGATCATAACACCTCTGTGAATATTCGAATGTGAGATTGGTAGTCAAATCAGGCTCCTCCTATGGAAACATCGAATCTTTGACTATTCGGGGTCACCCCTAGTATTTACACAGTTCAATGTAGCTCAGAGGGGACATGGATGCATTTAACCTGCAGTTACAGATGCATAAATAGGCCTAATGTTTTGTTTTAAACATAAAACATTGAATACTGATATTTGAAATAATTTAAAACATGAAAAAAATAGTCGAAATGTGAGATTAAAACCACCAGTAGGTGAGAGCAAGTGACTGTTAATGAGTGAGTCATTGAGATTCAACCGATTCATTCAAACGACTGATTCATTCAGGAACAAAGAATTTGACTGTGTTAATGAGTAAATAACTGAATCATTTATTCAACCGATTCGTTCAAAAAGCTGATTCATTCAAAAAGTAAACACTGTCCATTGTTCAGAGATGCAAAACAGTGCTGTGATCTTTGTTTGGAACTATTTTAATTGGTAAAATAGAGCAAAAACAGGCAATAATTGTGTCTAAAATGTAAGCCACGTAATGCTTTATTAAACTTGTATAAAATTATTATTAAATTTGTTATGCTGATATCTGGGGAAAAACAGCACTCTTTGTGTGATATACACTGAACAAAATTATAAACGCAACACTTTTGTTTTTGCCCCCATTTTTCATGAGCTGAACTCAAAGATCTAAGACTTTTTCACAAAAGGCCTATTTCTCTCAAATATTGTTCACAAATCTGTCTAAATCTGTGTAGGTGAGCACTTCTCCTTTGCCGAGATAATCCATCCACCTCACAGGTGTGGCATATCAAGATGCTGATTAGAGGGGGGGTCCGAAAACCAGTCAGTATCTGGTGTGACCACCATTTGCCTCGCGCAGTGCAACACATCTCCTTCGCATAGAGTTGATCAGGTTGTTGATTGTGGCCTGTGTAGGGGTGTGCGATATATATTGTCTGCGATAATATCGTAATTGCTGTTTTAACGATGTGCGATTTGACATTATAGAGTATTTTGCAAAAACCATTCAAAACATCCCTACAGAGCGCACGCATACATTACGTGAAGTCTAGACTAGTGCGTGAGCGCATTTAGTGTGTTGTCTTTCAATGCATGATTCAGTCAATTAAAATGCATTTAGAATGATCACAAATTCAAGACATGATGGCAGAAAATTTATATATTTATACCAC